ATTTAAAATTGACTTACAGCCAAATTAAAAATTTGGAGTGGAAAATATTTGGCGTTAACCCACCAGTCTTTTCTTCTGTTTTTTTCCCGTCATAGCTCTCGCTTAGAACCTGTGAGTAATCATTCCACCCCCCAAGGCAGCGGAGCTGCAACGCCTGACAATCATTCCGTAATCGACACTGTGAGTGAACAGGATGAAGGAACAATGACACCCCCATCCAAACAAACCACTCCAACCACAAGTCCCAGGAATTCCTTAAGGTAGAGAGTGAAACTTTTGTCTTAAAGGAAAATAAATGGTCAGGGTGGATATGAAGGGTATTAAAAAAGGAAGTGTACTTCTATGAATGCTGTGTCTTGCTGAAATAAGTCAGCAGACAAGTTGAGTGGACCCCAGGGTATAAATGTACATGTTTTCAGACTGTTTTGGAAACATGAGGTCTGCAAGGAGCGAAGAAAGTTTTCTGCAAGATAGGTTTAGTTGGAAAGGTGATGTTTGTCCTTTAAGACTGTCTGTAGGTGACCTATTCTGAGTAATATTTATATAAATATATATTCTTCAGATAGCAAGTTGATTTTGTGCATGGCAAGTTTTTCAATTCTAGTATGTGTGTTATTTCTTTCTGTCAAAAGGGGCCCTATGGACACAAACAAAAGGACCCCTGAACCTAGAATTGTTGTTGTTAAAAAATCCCAAGTCGATCTTGGGATCCAGATATGTGGTGGAAACCTGTATGGAATATTTGTCTCAGATGTAGATGATGACAGCCCAGCAAAAGGACCTGATGGACTGGTCCTGGGTGACATGATACTTGAGGTAAGTACTTCAGAAACATCTGCAGTGTACTGACAAATGGCTGGGATAACATAAAGAGGGAGGTGCCAAGTGCTGTGCTGTCCCACTGTCTGGAATGTTCTGTGAGTGTTGAGTTCCTGCCACAAAACCCAGGTTAGAATGGTCAGAAAGCAAACTTGCATTTTGGCTGCAGCACATGAGAGCTGGATGATGTGAACCTGGAGAACTATCACTGTTGATAGCCCCAAAGATGCCCCAAAGTTTGAAGGACTCACATATGTCTATCTGTAATTACTAACACCTGCTCCCTTCATCTGAATGGAAAGCTTTGAGTCCAATTGCTGTATGTAGGAGAAAGGCAAGCTTATGAAAGATATTGTAAAACAGAGAACAATGTTAATCTTACCCCTATGAAATTCTAAAGAGAGTTTAGGGAAAACCATATATTGTGTCTGACTCTGCTTTCTGTATCTGAAATGAGAATATTTATCTACTTGTCAAGACTGTTAAGGTGATAAACACACATCTTTGTGAGATTTTCAGATACAAGTGAGCACTGAGACTCTCTCATTGAACTTCTGGTATCCAGATTTTGCTTTGTAGTCATGTTTGACTTCCTTCAGACCACTTGTTATTCCTAAAAATACTATTTTTTTTTCAGTGTGAATTTTATGATTCTCAGCTTACACTTGGAAAACTTTTTCAAGAAGAACTCTCTCTCACTGTACCTGTCTGCTGGTTACACTTGTGGTTTTTGTTTTCCACTATAATGTCTCAGTCTCCTGCTAGACATCTTAAGGTGCAAACTGTACTAGAGTTAGGTGACAAGACTTGTATATAGAACCTGCAAGTGAGAAAAACAAACTAATTTGGCATGTTTTACAAGCTCACCTAGTTCTATTACTTGTAAAAATACAATTTCACATCTAAAGGTTTATTTTTGTGTATTGCAGTATGGGTCCATTGACATGCGAAGTAAAACAGCTGAGGAAGCTTATCTTGAAATGTTGAAGCCTGGAGAAAACATCAAAATAAAGACTCAATACAGAATAGAAGAGTTTAATAAGATAAAAGAGCTTCCTGGAGATGGATTCTACATCAGGTATTTGACTATGACTGGTAATGATAGCATAAGGCTGTTAGGATAATATGCTGACCATCATATGAGAGAGAGAGAACATAAATTTTGCCGTGCTTTGTAAAATTTGAAATGTACTGATTTATCCAGCTATTCTCTGACAGCGAGTATACAGTCTAGTATAGCAAGTCTTCACTTTTCACTCCTGTGTTCTTGAGATGTAGAGAATGCCACTAATCTGTTAACTTTTTTCAGAAAAAGTGTGTTCTTCCCTTGAGTTGATGGAGACCAGTTGCAGAGCCTGTTTGTCTTCCTTTCCAGAGCACTTTATGACCGTGTGGCAGAGATGGAGCAGGATTTAAGCTTTAAGAAAGATGACATTTTATATGTGGATGACACTCTACCACAGGGAAATTTTGGTTGCTGGATGGCTTGGCAGCTAGACGAGAATGCTCAGAAACTGGAAAGAGGACAGATTCCCAGTAAATATATGTAAGTGACCTCAGTTACAGTATTCATCTTCAAAAAGTATTTGTCTTTGAAAGTCTGACTAGTGAGATGTGGTATAAAAGACTTGTTTGCTTCTTTCTGGGAGGTAAAATTCTTAGATATGTCATTTTAGGGGTGGCATATTTTAATATACATTGAGTTAAATATATTGCTCTATCAAGTTGGTTTTAATGCTGCTAAATAGTAAACTAGAAATGACAATGTCCTGGGGTGCATCAGGCACAGCATCACCAGCTGTGATACTGTCAAAAAATTTTAAAAATATAACTTTAAATACCAGCCATTTTGTCTGTTTTATTTTAGGATGGATCAGGAATTCTACAGGAGACACAGCATGTCTGAGGCTAAAGATGAAAACAGTTCATCTAAGACATTGTCAGCAGCAGCAAGGAGGTCATTCTTCAGAAGAAAGCATAAACATAAGCGAAGTGGTTCCAAAGATGGAAAAGATTTATTGGCCCTAGATACAATCAGTACAGACTCAATTCCTTTCTTGGATGGCAAGTACCTTTGTTATACTTGGGAGGGTTCTGCCTTTCCTTCTCTTTCATTTTGAATCAGCACAGCGCAACAAATAATGTTAATTTCTAATTGCTCTGAATACAAATGATGATCATGACCTCTAATAACAATTTTTGTATTAAATTACAAGCCAGTGTGTTTCGAAATAATATTTTCATAATTTCTTCTTAGACGTATTAGCATCACTATTTCATTTGGAGAGGGAGATTCTTTTTGATGCATGGTTTGATCTTCTTTTCAACTATTTCATTTCTGTCCAGGTTGCTTAGTCTAGACAGAAATCCTGTGCACCACTCCAAATCTTCACTTTTTTTTCTTCACTCCTTTAGAAAAATCCTGTTGGTTATAATGCTTACCTCCTTGTAATAGCTCAACAAATCAAGCCAGAGATATCAAATATTGTGTATTGTTTACACTTTTAGGGATGATTGGGGAAGGTGAGGAGTTCAATTTTTTAATTAAACAGTAGGTTCAATTAAAAAAATATCTAGTTTCGACTGTCAAGTGGAAAAATTGCAATAATGACTGACAATATTTTGTATTTGTCAAGGGCCCTTTCAAAGGGTCTTCTCATAATTCCTGTAAGGATGCTTCTGCTTATTTGAGGAATGTCAGGAAGTGTATGCTTATACAAATTGATATCTTTTGTGTGTGTAGATTCTGCAAGTTTGGCTTACCAGCGTGTCCAGAAAGTGGACTGTACCTCCCCTAGGCCTGTCCTTATTCTAGGACCTTTACTTGATGCTGTGAAAGACATGCTGGTCAAAGAATCCCCTGGAAAATTTTGCAGATGTCCTCTTGGTAAGTATGCAAATGTAGATAATTTATTCATGCTTAGAATAGATGATAGTAACATCTGTATAAATTAACTAAATGACAACACAAACATGGATAACACCCCAAGAATCTGAATTTGCAGGTAATATCTTCTTAGCCTGGTTCTGTGCCTAAAGAATAGTAATGAGAGGGGATCTCTTCTATCCAACAGAGGTTATGAAAGCTTCCCAGCAAGCCATTGAACGAGGTGTGAAGGATTGTCTGTTTATCGATTACAAACGGAGGAGTGGACATTTTGATGTGACAACTGTAGCTTCAATAAAAGAGATAACAGAAAAGGTGAGTCATTTTCAATGCTGTAGTTCTCTGTACAATTTCCATACTTAGGTTGGGGGGTGGAAATTATGTAAGCAGTGTCATCCTTTAAGACATTCAGAGAACTGTACCTCAGGCTACTAAATAAAATAAGCCTTACCTTATTTTTGCATGTGACTATTTAAAATAAGCTCACCTTTATATAAACTAAAAAAGTTCATATTCTTCTGCAGTATTTCTAAATAAATTCAGAAATAACTTTATTAAATTCTGTCCTCTACCCCCTCCAAAAAAGGATTTAATTTTTTTACCTATTCCATTTAATGCAGTCATATAGAATATAAACATCATCATAATCCTGGAGTCAGATGTTACCTAAAGTTTGTTCATTGCTTACAGTTTTCAATCAAACCACATGGAAAGTCCTATTAATGCTTGTATTTGCTTATGATTTCTGAAAGAGAAAATTAATAGGAATATTTAAACTTTGAAAAAATATATTGCATATATTTCAATCTGAGTTTTCATTTCATTAGTTCTTCCAGTACTTTTTTTTCTATCAATGCATGCTTTTGGTACTATGAATGCAATTTCTTGCAGTTTTTCATCTTTTGTCTTTTGTTATAAATCCTTTGGGTACAAATTGCTCAGTAGTCCCAAAATGCTACATGTATGGCAAAATTCTGTTGGGTTGCTATGATTTAAGTAGGGAAAGAAATGGGGGATTTGCATGTGTGCTTGTGCTCTTTAACTGAATGAGTATTTTGCATTTACATTTGATCTTAGGATTGTCATTGTCTGCTTGACATCGCTCCTCATGCCATCGAACGGCTCCACAGTGTTCATATCTACCCTATTGTAATTTTTATTCGCTACAAAAATGCTAAACAAATCAAGTAAGTCTGTGAGGGGTATAGTTCAGGGATGTTTATTCTAGCTTAAAATAAGTCTGTTTTACCTTTATTGTTTATTTCATCCTAGTCACCTTAAATCTCTTAAAACAGGCACTGAGATTGGCTCAGTTGGTTAGAGCCTGGTGCTAATAACACCAAGGTTGTGGGTTCCATCCCTGTATGGGCCACTCACTGGAGAGCTGGACTCAGTGATCCTTCTGGGTTTCTTCCAACTCAGAATATTCTGTGATTCTGTAAAATGGGGAAATTCATCCTTATAAAACCCACTGTGAGGTGTATGATCTTAATTTTATTTGGGTTGCATGACAATTAAATGAATCTTTCAAAGAAATCCATGGAGACCAAACTGAATGTCCTCCAGGAGGATCCTTCCTGCTAGCCTTTGTGGTATGTTGTAAGACTGATATGGGTGAGATCCATTAAAGATTAAGCATTGACCATGACAGAGAGCTATTCTTCATCTTCTTAGAAGGGCCGTGGGTATGGATGCAGTACCAATTGGTTCATAACCTCAGCTTTTCCACCTTCATTCTCCAGTAAACAAAGCAAGGGAAATCCCCTTTTACCACATAGTGCATATCCTGTGGTCCTCTCAGACTGTGTTCTTTCAGTAGTTGTGAAATTCCTGTTTGAATATAGCCAGGAACAGAGCACAGGACGTGCAAATGCCAGTCCCTCCCCTGATGTTTGAGAAAACCTTCACACATTTTGATAGATTGATTTGGCAAGAAGGGACATAATCTCCCAACATGAATATTGAGAAACACTTTTGCTAAGAGATCTTATACTTGTGCTATCTTTGTATTTAAAGTTGAAGACTTCTTATATTCTTGATCTGTAGGTAAATTTTATTACTATCTATTTAATAAAAAAGATAAGTATCACTACTTTAAAGTAGAAACAGGACATAGAGCAATGAGGTGTATTACATTACCACTGTAGGATTGTGTGCTTAAATGTCATGTCTTGACACCCTTTGGAAATGAAATGGTGACCATTACAGCTTTTTCTTTTTTCTTGGAAAGTGACAAAGGTCAAACTAGTCAAGCAAGGATTTCTGGCAGTCATTGTGTCTGCCTGTTGTGTGCACCAAAACTTTATCCAAACACCTTTTTTGATATAACATAAGTTCTATTGGCATTCTCTGAAATGCTCCACAGCAATGATAGATTAGTTTAGTAGTTATGTTTTTAAATAATTATTTTAGCATTTGTATTTCTCTGTGTTTTTTTCATATTTTATTTTCAAGAGCTTTTGTAATAGAAAAAGAGGCGTCTCAGAAATGTGTCATAGGTATGATAACATGGAAATACTGTATTTACTTGATGCTTGATACTTCACAAGCCCTTAGAACAGGCATACTTGTGCCCAGCTTTGTGTAAGGAGTACTGGTGTGTACATGAGATGATGATCCAATTCATATGAACTGGAAAAAATTATATTCTTTCTTTATCAACTGCCTCTCAGTCTCTGAAACTTTAAAGAAATACTATCTATCTTGGTCTGGGAGCAAATAAATTTGTTAGCATTGAAATGATCCTGATGACTCTGCTGATACTGCTGAAGCACAGTAGATGGCACTCTGGGCCTAGGAGTCTGCTTGCATGTGAATTAGCCTTTCCTATTCACCCAACTAGAGGCACTCTTTTCAAGTCCATTACAAAAAATTACTCTTATGCAAAGTGTTTCTTCTTTTTTTTTTTTTTTTTTTTTTTTTTTTTTTTTTTTTTTTCAGAGAGCAAAAAGACCCAATCTTCCTGAGGGACAAAGTTACACAAAAGCATTCCAAAGAACAATTTGAGACAGCTCAAAAAATAGAACAGGAGTATAGCAAGTACTTTACAGGTTAGTATTTGATCAAACTTCCAGTAGGAACACAGTGGTAATTTAATCCCTTTACATTTTAATTCAAAAGATCAATGTTCCTTCCATGAGCACCTTGGTTTTTTTCACTCTTCCTTCCTCCTTCCCTTTTGAAAAACTCATGTTCTGTTATTTTATTTTACCAGGAGAGGAAATGTCAAGATCTCCTTTGTTCTGAATGTTATAATCTTGTGATGTAAAGAGGTTCTGAAAAGGTTTTATTACTAGCCAGTAGTATAGAAAGTGTGGTCAAGATTTGATGTTTTGACATAGCGTTGTCAGTGTTATACCATGTAATGAGTACAAGGGTTTTTTTAATTGTAAAAATCAAACAAAACAACAGAAACTCTTTGTTGTTAGTTTAAACTTACAACCCTTCTGTAATTCTGTGATTTGTGAGATATTCTTTTAACGTTTCAACAATGGGAAAAAATTGTCCAGGGATTCTTGAGCATGCATTGTAATTTGGAATAATCAAAATCAACTTTAGAAGCCTTTTTAACTTCATTAAATTATGAAATCAATCTTGGATTGTAGTATTTTTATTACAAAAATACTACTAAAAAACCCGTGTTTGGAGACTGTCTCTGTTCATTTCAGAGTATATTTCCATGTGGTTCCACATACCTAGAATTTTATCCCCAACCTTTTGAATGTATCTTGATGTGCATGACAACAAAATTTAAATAGAAGAACACCCTAAACTACCCAAAATCTAACTTTTCATTCCTTGAACAATGGGATTCTTACAGAAATATTTGTAGGCATAACTGCCAAGTGCAGAGAGACAAAAGGGAGTGTTTAGTTTAGAGCTCTCTCAGTGCATCCTGAGAGAAGCCTTGTGTTCTCAACAAAATGTTATGTAATAGTCATACAAATGTTTTTTACACAGTATATATTAAACCTACAGAGAACTTGACATGCACAAGGCCAGATTGCATCACCACATGTTATCATCTGCTTCTCATTTAGGAATTTGTGGCATTTCAGTGTCACCCTGACAGTGGAAGGGGCACTCAGTCCAAGAGAGTCTTCTGTGTATCTTCTCCTATGCCTCCTGGGAAGGGCCTCCTTCTGTTGGTGCCTGTGTGCAGTGGGCTCCAGCTGTCATCAACACTTCCAGATGCTGGTAGTCAGAGAGGGGTGGTGTTCAAATTGCACTGACATTGAAGCTTGTTGAAGTTATAACATTGCACATAGAGTAAGCCTGTAGATAGCATGTAGACAGATACAAGCATGTTTTACTGGGAAGGTTAGTCATGGAGCTATAGGTCACACTCTTTAACTACAAAGAGCTACTACTAAGAGCTCTTTAACTGCTTCATGGAGTTCACTTTTGACTAATGACTTTCAAGTTGGCTTTGTTTCCTCTACCAAGTTGTGAACACAGTATATAATCTGAATCACTTCTTCCCTACCATTTATCACTTTTCATAGACCTTTTCAGTTACTGTGTTCTGGATCCAAAGTCACCTGACATCATTAACTGTAGTATATATTGCAGAGCCAAATATTATATATTTATATGACATCATATCTTCTCTTTTCAAAAAGAAAAATCATGCCTTAAGCTGTGTAAGACTCCATATTTTTTCAACATCAGTGGTAGCTGTAGCCAGAGGCTTTGCTAGCTGACATATTTCTCAAGTCATGAAGTTCCTCAGTTTTTAAGTATTGAAGACAATATGTTCTCCTCTCATGTGTCAGTGGTGGCATTTTTCTTTTTATGTTTAGCAAGAGTAGAATAAAAGGTGTTCATTTATCTTGTGAATTGATTTTCAGGGAGTTGCTTACTGTTGGCCTTTTGTTCCTTGAATGTAGATGATGATAAGAATTGGAGTAGCAACCGCTGCTGTTTTATTTAGCTTAGCAATCTGTGAGCTGCTCATAATTTACTTCCAATATTTGTAAATAGTGTAGTTGCTACAGCTATAGTCTCTATGTATATTACCCCGTAAATATAAAACTCTTAACACCACATGTTGAACAGAGAAGGTTTATTATAGCAAGTTCTGACCATCTTTAGACTTAAACTTTGCCACCTGATGCCTCTGAAAATAGTACATGGAGGCCACTTACAAAACAGTTGTCTTAGTTGATTATAGCCATCAGTTCCTTGACTTCCCTGGATTGTTTTAGGAGCAAGCAGAAGAAACTGTGTATTGAATGCTTGACCTCTTTGCTCTGTTTATTTTTTTTTAGAGACATGCACCTGTCAGATACTGAATTGAGTCACTTAATTCTGATCTGTTGATAAACACTTAGTAGATAAATGCAGAAGACTGCTCTTGGTAATTGCTCATAACTATTTGTTCCAGTCTCATTAGTTTGTGGGGTTTCTTCTTCTTCAGGCATTGTCCAGGGAGGAGCCCTTTCAAGCATTTGCACTCAGATTATGACAACCGTCGACCAAGAACAAAACAAGGTCCTGTGGATCCCAGCTGGCCCACTGTAGATTTATTTTGCTGTGAAACTACTTTCCAGATATAAACAACCAACTAACTTTCTATCCAACGGATTCTGTTCATTTCTGTCTTTATAAAGATACCCATGAGTGATTTCTGTTTCATGAAGGGGAATGATAACACTGAACACACGAGGACCTGACGAGGCATGTGGGCAGGGGTAGATCACTTCACCGGGCTTGTCTCTTACGTCGTACGTGTGCACACGACAGCTGTCATGAGGGCTGTGACCTGTGTGTACTTGTCCATGAGTAATGAATTTAACAATGCTGCAAAACCCTTAGAATGACACGTTTACAAAAATCTTTTCAAAGTATTTGGTTCTTGCTGTTTACTTGAATGTCTTTTTGTTTTGTTTTGTTCTTTTTTTAACTCGGTGTCCTTTCACTTAATGAGGTAACTCTCCAAAATGGGGTGAAAGACTCGGTATGAGCGGACAGTTTATGGGCGATGTGACTCTTAGTTCCAATTCTGGCCATTTCTAAGCACATTGTTGACTTGACAACCAGGTAATAACGTGGGATTGAATCGGTACGTCTTGGGAGTAAGCTCAAAAGGAAGTACACTCCTACACAGGGCAGACCACTGTTTGTATCCTGTCAATGCTTGTCTGTCAAAGATATCGTTTCTTGTTTTATGCATGAAGCTAATATTTAAATGTCATAATGTATCTAAGCAATCCAAGCTTAACATGTTGACAAATAATAATTTTTGATTGTTGGGCCTGGATTAAGTACTGGTGGAGTAGAGTCATAAACTAGGCCTAGCATGCTGTGTTCTGTCACTTTTAGATACTGTAAATATGGAAAGCTTATGTTGGTGCAATTTTGCAGGGTAAT